CACTTCTAACATGATCAATAAGATTCAACTTAATCAAAGCAATTGAACATCACACCTAATAATTCTAAAACTTTAATCATCAATCATCTAATATTAAAAACATAAAATTCTTATGGTATAGTTGGGACTACACTTACCTTGATTGATGCTACGTTAGATTCTATCTTGAAAGTTTGCAAAATATCCCTCATTTTTCTTCCTTGAAAGATTCAGCCAATAACCATGCTTTTCTTCCTTCTCTATTTGTCTTCCCTAAATGTTTCTAGGATGATTTTAAGGTTTTATCTTGGTTAATTTGATGTTTTTAGGTGGTGGATTGGCTTAGTTTTCTCGAATTTTGCCTTGAATTTGTTTGTTCTTTTTCCTTCCATTTTTCCTTGGTTGAATTAAAGAAACGAGAATTGCTAGGATTTTGCCAAGTTTTGGGATGTTTGGATGGCTCCATTCATTTCCTTCACTTAGTCATTTTTCTAGAATTCTCTTCATTTCCTTGATTTTTCTTGATTTATCCTCTTATTTTTATTCCATTTGGTCAAATATTATGGCCTTGTCCTTCATCCATCTTGCTTAAATTTTTATGCATCAAATTCTCATCCTAGCCAAATTATTAGGTCCCTCAAGGTTTTAAAATTTTACATTTTGATCACTTACGTTTATTGATTATTTCAATTAGGTCCTTATATTTTGATCCCTAAACTTTTAATTACTATATTTGGGTCCTTAATCTAGATTTTCTAAGTTTCGTAGTGGTCACTAAACTTTACCTCTTGATTTAATTAAATACCTAAACTTTTAATTGTTACAATTAAGCCCCATAGGTTTTTGTAATTAAGTCCTTAGGTTATTCACGCCTTAATAACATTTAACAATTCGAGCTTACACAATTAATATTCATTTATCCAAACACAAGTACAATATTAATGTTTGCATAATATTTAATTTCCATGCAAACATAAATATTACTTTCTCATGCTTTAATAAATATTTATATAATAAATAAATCTATTCATACATATACAAATATATTTAAGGGTTTTTTAGGTCAAGGTTATTACATCGGAGGCAACAAGATATGTTTATACGCTAGGGTGTATGGTCCTAATGTTTCGTTATTGTTTTGGGTGAAGGTGGTGATTATGGTTTTCAACATATGAACACATAGTTCTTGTTTTATGTCACTGTCGGCAAATGGGAACTTTCGATTAAAAAGGTAAAAAAATAAGGAGTCGCCACCTAGCATTTAAAGGAGATAAAGAAACTTAAATAACCGGTCGTGCAAAAGTTATGAGAAAAGAGTTGGTTTATTGAAAAGATAACAATCATCCCAAAATATCTTCTTCTTCTTTTTTCTAAAAAAAGTTACCCGACTTTGTAATAACTCGTCCTAAAAATGAGATTAAGTTTAGTAATTTATATATTTTTTGGAATAAGGGGAAAATGAGGTAATTAGAGTATTTTAGAGTTTATTAAGTGAGATGGATTATAATAGTGGATATTGTAAGGTTTGAATAGAAGTTTAGAAAAAAAGTAAAAAAAATAAAATAATAAAACTTGAGCGACCTTAAGTGAAAAATGGGATAACCATTTTGTCCTTCATTTTTACTCTTTCTTCTCCCTTTCTCTTCCTCCTTCATTCTCTCTACTACCCTATTTCCCTCCATTATTTATAAGTACAAACTTGTCCAAATACCCTAGAAAACATGGAAGTAAGAAGATCAAAGTGATAGTAAGCTAGATTGTTTGGAGGAATAGTAGGGTTGAAATTGAGGTTGAAGAACCATTTATCAAGGTGAGAATTTTGGTCATTTAATCTTAAAATTGAGATGATTATACGTGTCAATTAATTATTTTGAAGTTGTTTTATATTGGGTTTATTGTTTGAATTAGACTCAAGTTAGGTTAAGGTTAAGAGTTGAATTGAATTTGGAGATTTGATGATTTAACAATTAATTATGTTAATTGATGCATGAAATAAGATAATAGTGGTATGAAATTGATTATTTGATTATGGATTTAAGAAATTCTCAAGTTGGTTAAGATGATGAATTGAAAAGAAATTAAAAAAAATTGTTATTTGAGTGATTTTAATTGATTAGATTATGATAAATTGCCTTGGGTTAATGACTTAGAAATGTATTTTGGAGTTTAATTGACTTGTTTTTAATATATGAATTATTTAAGATTTAATGGATTAAATTGAGGATTTTTGTATACGTAGGATGTTGTAGAGTTTAAGTTGGGTTGAATTTTTAGTATGTGGTTATGCAAGTGTTCTTGTGATGATAAAACATTCTTTTTGAAAAGTTGAAGATGATGAATAGTAGAATATGAATTTTTGAAAGGTTAAAGATGAAGAATAGTAACATCCAAAATTTGAGATTTATTAGTTAATTATTGAGTAAAGAGTTTAGTTATGAGTTTATTAATTGGACTAGAAGATTGATTATGGATTGTTTTAATGATAGGAATTAAATTGCTTTGGAGGTTAAGAAAAAATGATGGATTGTAGAGATAAGTTGTGTGAAAAATTGAATTAGAAATTGACGATGGATTGTAGAAACAAGATGTGTGAAAATTGAATTGGAAATTGAACATGGATAATGGGTTGTATTAAAGTGTAAATTGGATTATTAGAGAAAGATTATAGAATAGACTTGAGATATGGTCATTTGATTAATTGTCTAGAATTAGTTGTGAGAGTAAGAGTTTAATTAAAAATCCTCAATTTGAGTCTTTCTTATAAATTATGTTCCCGTATTTTGATTTCTACAATAATTCATTTACTTTTAAGTTATTCTTTGATATATGATATTAATAATTATTTGACTATTTTGTATCTTTAAATTCTTCGAAGCGAGCGACTCCATCTTAGCAATCTTGACTTTGCATAATCTTTTGATTTGCATTGTGAGTGGATAGTATTGAAAGCTCATGCATTTTATGGAGGTGTGGAATAAAACGAAAAAATTTCTCCATCTAAGGCTCCCAAGATTAAGCCATTGAATCAACTAATCATATATACATGAATTAAAAGCATGAGTAAAAAATTATCTCTTGTAGCACGATTTAGCCTTTGCGGAAAAATGAGCCGTCCAAGTGTCTATCCTCTATTAATAATCCATGCAGCTTAAACACCTACAAAAGAAGCCACAAAATCACGGAGTGCTAGCTCAAATCCTTATGTATGGTTTATTTGCTTTCTAAAGAAATCGAGTTAGGGTTTTTATGACAACTCGGGCTTTTAATGAGGGATACAAGAACTCAAGCTTTTGGGAAGAAACACCTTCTCTTTTCTATTTTACCGCGTGTGTCTATTGTAGTGTCCTCCTTGTCGGCTCTCTCCTAATTATTTATATAGAGGGCGGAATCTTTATCCTCCAAAGACAAGGACTTGCAATGTGTATGAGCTTGTTTGATCTTATCCTTATAAATCTTGAGCCTTATCCAATAGGGCTCAAGTTTATCGTTCCACCAAAATATCTTATAGGTTTTTAAATTAAGTTTATTAGTCCAAAATTTTTTTCCTAATTAATTATCAATTAATTTAGACTATTCAAATAAATTGAGTCGGATATTTTAGGAAGCCCACTTTAGAAAATAATTTTTCAAATTACCCTTAAACCTAAACTAGGAAACTAATTTTCTTTTTAGGTAACTAACTTTTAAATTTAGAATTGACTTTTAAATTAGGAAATTGATTTCTAAAATAGGAAATTTTTTATTTTAGAAAACTTTTTCCAAAACAGGAAACTTTTTATTTTGAAAACCTTTTCCAAATTAGGAAACTTTCAAAAACTGGAAACATTTTTCAAAATCTTTGCTTTTCTCGTTATTATGTGAATGTTTAAAATTATGTGTGTGACTCAATAGGCTCCTAAATACATTGACAAGATATCAAGAATAAAAGACACCTCTAAATTGATGACAGTTGTCACTCGTTCATTAATCCGTTGCTATTTAGCGATATCATGTTATGCGTTGCCGATTTCCATCGTTAAATTGCGGATCCTTTGTAGTGTAGATAAGCATAAGGTACATTAAAGTTCTCCTTTATGTGATATTAAATTAAATATCAAGCATAAATAATGATTGGTAATAGAAAATGTACTTAATAGATCCATTTTACTATATTTGAATATGCAAATAATCAATAGAACGTACTAATCACTACAATTACGTTTGTCAATTATAAAAACAATTAATTAACTTTTGGGTTGCTATCGAAATGTCTTCTATGAACAAACTTCAATTTATCAAAATAAATATAATTACATAACTTAATAGTCATTTAAAATTTTTAAGTTTATAAGTTATTGAAGAGAAAGTTTAAAATACTCAAGAAGTAACTATTTTAAAGAGTTGGATAGACACAAAAAAAAAAAAAAAGGAGAATCACAAAATATATTTATACATAAAATGACGCTAAATTGAGATTTTCGTATCATAAAAAATGAGAAAACAATTAAACTTCGTAAGTAGGTTTTCTAATTTTCTACAATTAGAAAACAAATTTACAAATAATGTTCTCCAATTATGAATTCTACAAAATAATTTTCCAATTTGTTAAGTAAACACGTTTTTACAATTCTTAGAAAAAAAAATTTAGAAATACATTGAAAACATATAGATGGAACATAGAAAATTCATTTTTGAAAGTAAACAAAATCCAAATGATTCTATGATTTCATATATTACGTAAATCTTAGAAATTGTTTTGAAAGCCTCCTATGTCTTTATTTTATTTTTATTTTTTTAATAATAAATGGTGCTATGTTATTTTAACAAGTTAATTATAAATTAGTCCATAAAACGAATTACTTAATTGTTATGGTCTCGGAAACTATACATTTTGATCCTTGTGTTTTTTTTTTTTTTTTTTGTACATTTTAATTTATTTCATATTCTTGTACAAATCATCATCAAATACTAAACCGAATATCATCACGAGATCCCTTCATCGAAATCAACGGTGCATGATTGCCTCCAACTCGGGAAATTATATGGTCCCCACTCGGTCACCACCTCGGCGAGTCCGCTCAACCCTAACCGTTTCTCTTTGCCAAATTTGAGATCGCAAGAATAGCTCCTTTCGTTGTATATATAAGAAAAGCAAACCCTACCATCACTCGCGCACTACTATACTCTAAATCCTCTTTAGTCTAATAGATTTCTTATCATTTACAATGGCCAAGATTAAGATCGGTATCAATGGTGCGTGATTCATCACTCGTCTCGTTGTTTTGATTTCATCATTGTCGTCGTTGTTTTCATTTTCTTTTTAGGGGATTTTAATTTTAATTTGTTTTATTTTTAAATCAAATTCAATGTAGGTTTTGGAAGGATCGGGCGTTTGGTTGCTAGAGTTGCTTTGCAAAGAGATGATATTGAGCTTGTTGCTATCAACGATCCTTTTATCACCACCGATTACATGGTATTTTCTCGCTACTACTATTTTATTTCCTCATAGTTTTTGTTTTTTCGGTTTTAGTTTCGATTTTTCGAATTAAATCGGATCTTGCCGTTTTCTTTTCATTTCTCTCGTTTCGGTTTTGAATTTGAATTTGAATATTGCGTTTTGGAGGCAAGACAAGAGACTAGTCGTTTGAAATGAAACCTTACATCCCGAATGACATGTCGTCCGATTCGGGATCAACTTTGTTCTTTTTCTTTTTTTGGCTTTTCAAAATGACTCGAAAATTTAAGTGAAAACCACAAAACAAAATAAATCCAGGAAAATTGCAGTACCATTTTCATTTTGGATTTGGAGTTTTTGAAAATTTTGTTTAAAATTGGGGTAAAAATGGTTATGACAGTGATTTAGGTGCATTGATATCTCCTAATATGTTATCTGGGCCTTTTTTTCCCCTTAGACCTACATGTTCAAATACGACACCGTTCATGGGCAATGGAAGCACGGAGATATCAAGGTCAAAGATGAGAAAACTCTTCTTTTTGGTGACAAGTCAGTCGCTGTTTTTGGGGTCAGGTATAATTATTTCTATTTGCTTAACATACTACATTTATTTGTTCACAAAGTTGTAGAATTTTTAATCAAAGTACTTAATTTTAAGGTGATTTAATGTTTTGTTCTATTTATAATTAGAAACCCAGAGGAGATTCCATGGGGTGCGGCTGGTGCAGAGTATGTTGTTGAGTCCACTGGCGTTTTCACTGACAAGGACAAAGCTGCTGCTCATTTGAAGGTGCGTAAATATTTTATTTTACGAATTTTATGACATGGTTATCTAAATGAAAATTATATAGTTCATGATTTTTTTTTTTTTTAAATGCACTATTGCTTCTTTCTAGTAATACAATTTCTAGTTAAATTCCTTCATATCTTGAACTTTTTTTTTCAAACATTGTAACTTTTTTTTTATCCTGTTTTATATGTTGTGAATTTGTAATGTTTAGTGTAAACATGTATGTTCTAGGATGGAAAATGTTTTGTTGTTAATAATCTGTCACTTTAATTTCTTTTGGGAATTGTACTCCTATGATAGGGAGTTAATGAAGTTTCTTATTGAGTTTTCCTTTTCTTGGGAAAACTAATTAAACTTAAAAGCTGCACTTTTTTTTTTTTGGTAACTTTTACATTGTGAAGGATTTGTTGGTTGTAGTGCTTTTAATTTTAGTTTCTGTTTATAATATGTTTATTGAGAATCCTATAGTTTTACTTGGGTTTTATGGTTTGATCTTAGGGTGGTGCAAAGAAGGTGATTATTTCTGCTCCTAGCAAGGATGCTCCTATGTTTGTTGTGGGTGTCAATGAGAAGGAGTACAAGCCTGAACTTGACATTGTCTCCAATGCCAGCTGCACTACCAACTGCCTTGCTCCTTTGGCCAAGGTTGGGCTCTTTCCTTGTCTCTGTTGTAAAAGGATGACGGTAAATTGTTTAGTTTAGTTGAAAAGAAAATAGCACAATACCAGTAACAACAATCCAATTGATGTATATGTTTGTAGGTCATTCATGACAAGTTTGGTATTGTTGAGGGTCTTATGACTACTGTCCACTCAATTACTGGTGAGTGTGCCATGGATATATTTACTCCAATCCAATTGATGTATATTTTTTCTCCTTGATTAATTGTCCTATGTTCTATGTTATTCAGCCACACAAAAGACTGTTGATGGACCATCAATGAAGGACTGGAGAGGTGGTAGAGCTGCTTCCTTCAATATCATTCCCAGTAGCACTGGAGCTGCTAAGGTACTAATGACTGGCATAAATTAGTTCACCTGCCATTGCTTTGCGTGCTGCAAGCATTATTTCCAGCGGGGTTAATTTCTTATAGAAGTGAGAAAATAACAGGCTAGTCTTTGTTTTTTGGACTTCTTCTTTGACATATGTCTCAGGTATCCATTGTCCAGAAACCACTTGTCTATCAATCCTAACATATTTCATGTTTCACCTGTGTCTTCTTTTGCCCTGAAGCGATGATCAACAACCTCCTCATAGGATACCTCTCTCCCTTTCTCTAACTAGTACACTGCTTGTCTACATCATTCTTTGTCATCTTCATAGCCTTGGCTATTATATTTGCATCCTTCTCTTTATCTGTGATGATTGATGCATGATATTGTCTTCTTTTGCTGTCATCGATGTGGCTAACTTGCCTCTAATCTTGAAAGAACCACCACTAAGTATTTTTGTCATTTTTATCTACAAAGAAATAGAATGTTTTATTAGTTGTTTATTCTCTCTGTTATTTCTTCAATTCAGGACTTTTAGTTGTCTATATGTAAAGCACCTAATCTAATGTTTTGGTTTGGCTTTTAGACAGTACTGAAACTACACTTTCTCAAATTCTCTTTATTGATTTTCCTTCTTCCTTTTCTCTTCTTCATTGTCTCTCGTTCTTTTTCCTTCTTGAATCCTTGTAATGTTCTTCTGTGATTGTGTAGGCTGTCGGGAAAGTGTTGCCTGCACTCAATGGAAAGTTAACTGGAATGGCTTTCCGTGTTCCCACTGTTGATGTCTCAGTGGTTGACCTCACTGTAAGAATTGAGAAGAACGCCACATATGACCAGATCAAAGCAGCTATCAAGTAAGGATCATAAACCTTGTTTTCTTTTGTAATAATCTCTATCCTTTTTGGTTTTGGTTTCTTCCCTGTATGTTGTTGTTGGAGCCTTGAAAATCGTTGAATACTTTCCAATTAAAGGTCAGGATCATTTAAATTTTCCTATAGTGATTGGGTGCCAGTCTTTTAAGAGACTTTACTAATTGGACGTGCCAGACATTCTTGTTTAGTGTAATGTATATGGTTTGACTATCCTTTGTAATTCTCTAATCACTCATGTCTTGTTGTGTGATACAGGGAGGAATCTGAGACCAATCTGAAGGGAATCCTCGGTTATACTGAGGATGATGTTGTCTCAACTGACTTCTTGGGTGACAGCAGGTGAGGAGATTATGATGATATGCAATTATGCATTAACTCCATATGACATGGTTTGCCTTTGCATAGAAAAGGGAGCATCTCGCGATAAAACATGAGAACATATCCCCTTGCATATTCTCAACTTCTTTTCGAAAAACAAAAATAAAGAAAAAGAAACCATTTCCTTGTTATATTATAGGTGGATTTCATGCTGACTTCAATGTCTGGAATTTGATAGGTCAAGCATTTTTGATGCCAAGGCTGGAATTGCATTGAACGATAACTTTGTGAAGCTTGTCGCGTGGTATGACAATGAATGGGGTTACAGGTAATTGCTATCTCCAGACCTATTCAAGCTTCTTGATTTAACGCATGCTGATTTTGTTGTAGCTTTTTTAATGTGAGCTCATCTTTCTTTCTTTTTTTTTTCTGATTCTAAATGTTTTCTTATTGATATTTTTTTTATGCAGCTCTCGCGTGATTGACTTGATCCGTCATATAGCCTCTGTGCAATGAGCAGCTCTATAGTTCTGGCTGATCGTGTGATGGGAGCCTCATACCTGTCAGGGTTAGGGGAGATGTTTTTGAAATAATTATAGTTGAACCATATTATTTTTGGGACTGGTTATATATAAACCATCTTTTTTCTCCCCTCATGCAAAAAACTGGGAAAACTATTACATTTCTTCATTCTATGAGTTGAATTGGGTTTTGCTTGCATCCTGATGCTTTTTTTTTTCCTTTATGTGCTTGAAAGTTGAAATGGCAGTTGCCCTTCTTCGAAGTAGCCTTTTCTAATGATTTCCTCTCAGGAAATACCTTTTTACCTGTTATTTTATTTGAACAATGTGGCTGTCGCCTGTGGATGGCATTTTTGATAACTTGAGATAAATTTCCTGCTAGTATGTGCCCTAAGTACGCAATAATCCTTCAAACTGAAGAAAAAGTTGGATCGTCATCTTTTTTATTGTGCAGTGCTGTTTATTGATACTTCAGACATGTGCCTTTTATATACTTCAGACATGTGAATAAAATGTAATAGTAACAGGCCTACAATTAAGTAATAACTCTAGTTCAAATACGACATTGTCTAAACCTACAACAGTTGGCAATTATTAAATTCCCAAGCTCATATTATTAAATGAGCTCACTTAAATATAACTCAATGAAACCCTAAAATCAATTTTGTTGTCCCCCTAATTCTGCTCTTTCACTTCATCTTCTGACTTGCGCATATCACTGCCTTCCACTTCAAATTGCCCTCGTCCTCGAGGGGGGTGAATAATGGAAAACAGCAAACTCCGAAGTAGCTTCAGTAGGTGACAGGTCGCAATAGTGAATCAACCATTAGACTCCAGCCTTGTTCCATCTCTTGTCAAGTATGGCAACTGGTTGAGGTGGAGAGTTTGGGTACAATTTAGGGAGATTCTTGGTTACCATACGCAACCCAATTGCTTTCTTGAGAAGGGAGATGTGAAATACAGGGTGAATTGAAAGCTGCAACAGGTAATTTCAATCAGTAAATTACTGGCTCAACCTTGTCTTGCACCCAAAAAAGACCATAATATTTTCAAACTGCCTATGGTATAGGGAGTGGTTGTAACAAAACATTAAATACATGCACTAACAGTGGGATGTTAAGGTAATAAACAATACTGCACATAATAACAACACAACATAGACATACTCTATTGTTTGAGGAAATGCATTTCACACTATTAGCAACTAAATGGTCACACATTAGACACTTAAGTTCCTAAAATAATAATCTATACTTTTACCTAATAAAATTATCTCTTTCCACATCAAGGATTATTACTCGATCAAATCCATAACACAAATACAATAATTTGACAATGAAGGACAAAAACAACTAACCTTTTATGCTGAAATATTTTGTTACTTTATCGTTACCCATTTTATTGCTATTTAAATAAAAAGAAATGAAGAATCAATTGATACTCGGTAAGAGAAGACAAAAACAACTTATCATTTATCGTGATTCTCGTTAAATTAGTAAATGATGGTTTTTAGGGTTTCAATTTAAGGCTTTTTAAATTTTGGGGTTTAAGGATTTTAATAATGATAAACTACAATAAAAGACAAGAACTATAAGATTTTTAGCTAAAAATGATTGTGAATCAATAGTGAGAAGATAATCTCGCAGAAAATCAAATAATAAAGATAAAAATACGATTTTGATCGACTATGATGGGAGAGAGAAAATTTACTTCGTTTTTATTCCGAGGTCTTTTTTTTTCCTTTGAATATAATTTTTAATTTTTGAAAGTTTTTGGTTTTTTCTTGCTTGTGCAATTATTACAAATCCGTCATGCTATGTAGCTCTTTTTTTTTTTTTTCATTTATCAATTCGAAACAAAAAATTGGCTAAATACCACCAGCTTGAAGGGTCATATTAAGAAAATTTGAAGAGTATAATGAAGGGTCAAATAAAAAAAGTACATGGAACGTATTAAGAAAATAAAAACATTAGAGGTATGTTTTTTTTATGATTAACCCTAGTAATAGGCCTACAACCCAAATATGACATTGCCTAAATCCACAATGACAACTATCCAATTCTCAAGTCCACAGTATTAAATGAGCCCACTTGAAGATAATTCAACCAAACCTAAAAATCAATTTTGTTTTCCCCCAGCTTTTCTCTTTCACTTCATCTTCCGACTTGAACGTATAATTATCATGGGAGGTACATGGCAAAAAGGCTCGTTTGAGAGTTGATACATACGAGCTCACGCATAAGGATTTTGATGCTTCGTGATAATTGGGATCGAATATTCCCTTCCTTACTATGCCTCGCAGTATTGAAGGGGACCTTAAAAGGATTCGGGTGTTTTGGAAATATGTTTTCAAGAAAGGAGGGGGAATTTTTTGGTCTTTGGAAATATTTTTTCAAGAAATGATCGAGTTCTAGCGAGATCGAAGGTGTTCAGAGAGCCCTAATGAATAATAAGAATCGGTATTTTCTTGTGAGACGAGAGGAGATTCCCCGGTTTCAAAAGTCTCGTAATAATAAGAATCGGTACGTATAAAATTGAGGCTCGCCGGACATGGTGGTTTCATATTTTGCTTCTCTTTACTTTGAGGAGAATGCAAATAGAAATAGCTTTCCAATGGTAGGCCGGTTCTCGCCGGATATAAATAAATCGGATAAATGAGTCCCATTAGGAGGGTGGATGAAACTAAGGTTAGACGAGCTCTATTTGATATGGCTCCTCATAAAAGCTCCAAGCATCGATGGATTTCATGCTCATTTCTTCCAATCTCAATGGGGAACCGCAAAGGAAAAAGTTTCCAGTGTTTTTAAAGACTTTTTTAATGGTAAGGAGAATATATCTCTAAAGTTCAAAAACTAAAGTACGTTCAACAATTTTGTCCAATAGAACATTGTAATGTATCTTAGAAGCTCGGTTACTAAGATTATTGTTAACAAAATTAAGCAGCCTTCTTCCAGTTCTTGTTAGCCCTTATCAAATAACTTCGTTTTCGGAAGAAGAATTATGGATAATAATGTGGTGGTTTAGGAAATTGTTCATTCTATAAGACTTTTATTATACCTAAACTTCGGATTACCTAACGATTACATGAAAATAGAGGTGTTAGTGATAACAAAATAATTACATAGAGTATACTCCTAACAATTAAAAAGAAAGTTACAAAAGAAAATAGTACATGATCGCAATAAGTACATGAGAACATGCATAAAAGATCATAGAGGAGCTACAAAATTGTAAATACAAGCTACAATGAAGACAAAAATAACAATCAACAACAACATCAACTCAACAACATTTGCAATACTTAAAAAGCTCTCGGAGCATTTTCAAAAATTTTAACTCACTTGAAATTTGTTAAACAACATATTCTAGACAATAAATTATAGGCACCGATAGTTTTTGCTATTTGGTTCTATTTTGTGTCTACAATCCATGCTTGTGATATTCAATAATTGAATTTATGTGAGAACTAATAGAGAATGAATTTAGCTTCAATAGAGAATGATTTTTTTCATCATTTTAGATCTTTGATTGTGTGCGTATATATATATATTCGTTGATTTAGTTTTCTTTCTAGATATATAAAGAAACAAATCATGTATTTATTGGTTGATTTAGTTTTCTTTCTAGTTATATAAAGAAACAAATCATGTATTTATTGGTTGATTTAGTTTTTCTTTCTAGATAAAGAAACAAATCATAGCAAACCTATATAAATTCATATATTTTGGTTAATAGAAAAATACAAACTTTTGCATGAGTCTAAAACTGTTTATGGTATTAGAGCTTTCTCGGTCATTGAACATATTTGACCTCCATCTCTTCCAAATCACCAAACCGTGATGTCTTCTTCTCAATCTTAGACATCGGGCTCAAAAACCTCACTTAAAACACCTACAATTCTCACACAAAACTCAAATCCCACTATCCAAGACAATGTTTGTTCTTCTATTGGTAATTTGATCTCTTTAAAGACACCTACTCAAGTTCCTTTCAAATTCATGAAAAATGGAGGAAACTACACTTCTTGGAAATCACATATGACCAATCTCATATTTGGTTATGACTTACTTGGATTTGTTGATGAATCTCGACCATACCTATGACAAACCGATCAAAATTATAACTTCTAGCTTCATCAAGGTAACTCCTCCCACTCGGGCAATAATCCAACACTCGCTAGAAAATACGATATTAGGGATGGACTTAAGCAATCCATAGCTATTTTTGGTCAAACATTGTTTTTAGCGAGGGTTTTATTAAACGATTGCTAATTTGGTCAAATAAGATCGATTTAAGTGATGGTTTGTTAAAACCCGTCGCTGAAGTTGATGATGTTTTGGCAAATTAGCAAGGGTTTTAAAACACTATTTCTAATTGCTAAAATTAGTAAGGATTTCAAACATACCTCGCTAACACCATACGTGCAAGGAATCCAAGGACGAGTTGGGTTTAGTGATGGTTTATTTTCTTAAAACCATTGCTAAACAGACTAAGTTAGTTACGGTTTATGAAAACGAACGATAAAACGAATAATTCAAAAAAAAATATTATTTGCCATGGTTTGTTTTCTCATAACAGTTGCTAAACACTTACATTAGCGACATTTTCTATAAAACCATCGCTAATTTGTAATCGTTGGGGGAAAAACAAAAAATTCAAAAAAATAATTAGCGATGGTTTTTAGTGATAAGTTAAACCCGTCGCTAAAAACTGGAATCCCTAAATACCCTACTACTTGAAATTTTCTCCCATTTTCCTTCTTTTCTTCTTCTTTCTAGTCACCACTACAACTTCCCCTTCCCCATTTCTCCTCCAATCAAGTTCGAAACTTCCCTCTAAGCCCTTCTTTTCTCTTCTTTTGTTCTTCCCTTCCATCTTTTCCTTTTCCTCCTCCTCCCTTCACTCCTCTTCTCCATGAATACCGCCATAGTAGCAGTTTTCCTCATTCTTTACTCCTCCATTTTTGTAATTGGTAACTCATTAAGTTTTTTTTTCATTTATTTTAATAATTTAATATTTGTTGTTTAATAATTTATTTATTGATTATTGTTGTTTAATTATTTATTGGTTAATTTTTAGTTAGTTTAATTTATTTTTTTGTTATAATTATTTGTTATTTGATAATTAATTTAATATCTTGTTAAAAAAAATTATTTAAGTGTTATTTTAATTAATTATATGTGAAATAATATCAATTTAGTTGTTAATTAAGTTAAGTTTATTTGTTGGTATTTAAATAATTTAATTGGTTTATAAAAATTAAATAGGTGTTAGTTTAATTAATTAATTAATTAAGTGATTTACGTGCTAATTACATTAATTAAGTTTGTGGTAAAATAAATCATTTAATTTTTTTATGAAATTAATTGTTTGTTAGTTTAATTATATAGGTGTTAATTAAATTTTCAATTTTTTTAAATTAAGTAAATTAATTAGTTGTTATTAAAATTTTAAAAAAGTGTTTAAAATAATTAATTTGGTAGTTATTTACGCAAATTAGTTTACAATTAAATTATTTAAATTTTGTATAAATATATAATTACGTGTTAGTTTAATTTATTTTTTTAATTAATTTTTTAGTTGTTAATTAAGTCAATTACCTTATAATTAAATTATTTAAATTGCTTTTAAAAGAATCAATTAGGTAGTTAATTAAGTAAATTAGTTTATAATTAAATTATTAAAAAATTATTAAAAATATAAAATTGCATGTTAGTTTAATTAATTTGGTTGTTAATTTAGTTTTTTAATTGTTAAATTAAGTCTATTAGTCGATAATTAAAAAAATTATTGTTTAAAAGAATTAATTAGCTAGTTAATTAAGTGAGTTAGCTTATAACTAAATAATTAATTTTTTTTATAAAATTACATGCTAGTTTTATTAATTTGGTTTGTTAATTTAGTTTATTAAGTGTTAAATTAAATAAATTAGTTGGTAATTAAAATATTAAATTATTTTTTATAAGAATTAATTATGTAGTTAATTAAGTAAATTATGTTATAATTAAATTATTAAAAAAATTGAATATAAAATTATATGTTAGGTAAAATTCTAAAATATAATTTATATTTCTCTCTAATACACCATCTCAAGTAAAAGCTCTAATATTTTGATTTGAAACTTTTACATGTCTACATTACCTTGTGCTTAATACTTGAAAAAGTGAGGGTGGTGAGATCCGAACTCAAGACCACATGGTTAACGAAGCTTTGATACTATATTAAAAAGATCATCCTACGTAAAAACTTAAACTATTAAATAAGATCCTATAGTATAATTTATATTACTCTCTAACAAAAACCAATCTTAAACCTCCTCAAATAGAAATTAAAAAAGATAAAAGATAAAAATGACCCCTAGCATGACTAATACTAACATTTTTTTCTTGGCAATAAACAAATAAAAGAAGAAAAATGCAACCCGATTCTCCATCCATCCAGCCCATCAAACTATGACAGGGGGAAAGAAAGAAAGATATAAGATTGCTTGGCAACTACTAGATTATATATATATATGTATATCCAAATTTAAGGTTAACAAACTCATTCTTGGTACTTTTTCCATTTCATCAAAAGAAAGAAATGTCAGAGAGAAAACAAGACCTAGTGATGTTCCCATTCATGGCACAAGGCCATATCATACCTTTCCTAGCATTAGCCCTCCAGTTAGAACAAAATAACAATTACACCATAACCTTCGTTAACACCTATCTTACTATCAAGAAACTGAAATCATCACTCCCAGCAAATTCCTCCATTCAACTCTCCTTGAAATCCCTTTCGATGGCTCAAGCTATGGCCTGCCTCCTGGCGCTGAAAACACTGACTCAATTACTTACCATCAATATTCTCCAAGCCTCTTCCATTCTCAAACCATCATTCAAGAAACTCTTTTCTGATCTCGTTAGAGTGCAAAATGGTCACCCTCCGTTTTTTATCACCACAGGCATGTTTTTTGGCTGGCGTGCAGAGATTGACATGAGTTTGGGCATTTCATGCCATTTTTTGTGCTGGTGGAGGTTTTGGTTTTGCATGTTACCAATCATCTTGGTTGAACCTGCGTCGCCAGAACAAAGAATCTGATGAGTCACCTTTACCAGATTTCCTAGAAGCGTCTACAATGCTTGTCACACAATTGGAGAGTAGCTAATGGTAGTGATCCACTCTCTGTGTTTCTTCAGAAAGTGTTTCCTGAATGGACTAATGCTGACTAGATTTTGCTTAACCCAGTGGAGGAACTTGACAAGCTTGGATTGATATATTTTAGGCGTAAACTAGGCAAGCCAGTCTGGCCAATTGAACTAGTTCTCTTGTCCAAGAGAAGCCAAGATCAAGCTGGAATTACACCTGAGGTGTTTAGAAACTGGCTTGTCACATAATCAGTGAATTCAGTTCTTTACATATCGTTTGGATCGCAGAACACAATATCTGCCACCTGGGAATTGCAGGCTAGTGGAAAGAATTTCATCTGGGATGTTAAGCCACCTGTAGGATTTGACCTTAACCTGGAATCTAAAGCAAAAGGGTAGCTGGCCTAGCTGCCCTTTTGTCGAAGCCATTGATGAATTCTTGACAGCGGCATTGCTTATGCGAGAGGAGACAGAGAGGAGCAGAGAATGGGGTTTAACAAATGAAACGTGATTGCTGAACTTTGGCCACAAATATTCATCACAAAATAAAATTTTGATTCACAGTCATTAATGCATGTTTCGTTTCAACTAGTTCGTGTTTTTCAAGCTCAATAAATTGTCATCCAATTACATCGCTTCATCCACTTTAACTAAAGATTTGAGGACTCGCTGTCGTCCTGGACAGTAAGTGCAGTTGAGCCCTCCATCTGCACACCATCCCAGCAATGGGCTTATATAGTTTATAGGACACTCCCGAGTAAAGAGAGGAGATAGTTAGGAATTCGAGTTCTTTGCCGTTAATATAGATTAGAATATTATTATGATTCTACCTTCTCAGTCCCTGTGTACATGAACTTGAACACAAAGGAAAACGAGACAAATAGCTAATTTTCAGACTAAAGAAAGAAACACTTATTTAGAATTTTCTCAAATTTTAAATCTTTCCTTCCTTTTATGTATATCACAACAGAAGGCTATCCTGATTGCCATATAACAACTTGGACCATTAAAAGGTCATCAAAATACAATATCAGTCCCTACAAAAATCACAAACATAAACATGTTCAATACAAGCAAATCAATTCGAGACATGAATGGTGCACTGCCAACATTGAGATTGAAATCAAGAACAAATTTTGAAGTAAAAGGAGGCAAGCTTCACAGTTAACACTTTTACAAAACGTAGATAATATAATGGAAGAAGTGATTGTTCATCACCTATGTTGTATCAAACATACTTTGCGTATAAGCCAACTTGGAATAACATCCATAACAGTCATCAAGGGCAAATCAGTTTAACAAAAAGAGAGGCATGCAAGCAACTTGTATTGATAAACATTGCTTATACTGTAGTCAAGGGCATCACATTCACATACCAACATATTAGCCATTCTGCATTGCAAAATAACATTCCACAATTCAATCAAATCTCAAGGATGTCTCATGGCAAAAGGCATAGTATCTAAAGCATGTTCAACGATAAAAAATGGCCATAAAACAAGGACCACATTCATTCACAATATTTTAAGCACACAGGTATTCAAATCCTTGGGATTTATGAATAGCAGAGCATAGTCATGATATAACCAATGATTAACCAAAATTCATAAGCTTTCCCTTTAACATGATATCCTGAATTCCTGAACTCTAAACTTCTGAATCTTAAAAACAGATTCAAATGATATATGGTCTCTTCAAAATCAAAAGATTTACACTGAAAGTACGTAATAATCCAGCAATTCACAATCAGGTAATGCCATTACACCATGCCAGAATACCCTGCAAAAAATAAAAAAGTGAAATCAAGAAATACGATGACATAGCTAAACGTGGAGGTATTCAATGACAAAGTGTAGTGAAATTATTGGGCTGAGATCCATGATCTTATCAAGACTAGTTTGAAAGGAGATTTGATAAACATATTTTACACGGAAATAAAGTGAATGAGGAAAAAAAAATTGAAACCCCAAACCCTAGAGGATGTCAAGGTGAGATAAGGAGGCAAAGGCAGTGGGAAAGCATTTACACTTATAATCACAAAGAAACAGCAACAAAATTCCAATGCCAACCCATAAATTCAAATGGCAAACACCAAACAACAATCCAACTCCCATAGGCAAGTTCATGCACCCAAATGTCGGCAATATATATATAGAAAGTACCTATTCAACGGTTTGCATTGAGGGCCAGAAGCATGTTGTTACCACCAGGAAGGTATGCCACATTGGATGACTTAGCCAAAGTTGAAGCAATCTCCCTTGATGCTTCAATCCTTCTCAATTCAATCAGCCCCATACCAGCTTTTGTTGTTGCCTCAGAGATTAGCTTAGCAGCATCACTCTCACCTTCTGCCCTGATAATTGCAGCCCTTCTCTCCTGGTCAGCCTTCATAACAACAAACTTTGACCTCTCTGCCTCTTGCTGGGCAACCTGCTTCTGCTCTACAGCCCTTGAGAACTCCACTCCGTAAGACAAGTGGGTAATAGCCACATCATCCATCACAATGTCGAAGTCCCTTGCACGCTTGATGAGTGAGTCACGGACCAGAGCTGACACATGGGGACGCTCCGTGAGGAGTTGATCAGCATTGAACTGAGCAACCACAGCCTTCAACACCTCATTGCCAATAGAGGGGAGCACCTTCTCATCATACTCAAGCCCAAGGCGTTGAAAGATATGAGGCAAACGTGTCACCTACTCAAATAACCATTTTTCAGTCAAATATACACAAAAGAAAAATACAATCATACACACTCACCATGCAAAGTCCTGATTCAATCTGATTTTAGTAGGGAAAAAAAAACGAGTAAAAAAAAAAAAAAAGAAAAGAAAACTTCAATCCTCACTCAATTTCCATATCCAAAATCCCAACTAAGCAATGCAATGACAAGATAAATTCATCTCCTTTCTTTTTGCTAGCCATCTAAACTAAGTAAACCCATCTGAAAACCAAGTTTTACTAGCTAACTAAACCACATATAACACATTAAAAAACCTCTTAAAACCCATCAGAAGACCCAAGAAAACAACACACTTAACCCAACAGAGAAATAATACAATCAAAGATTAAATTCAACTCCTTTCTTGGCTGCATAGCTAAACCTAACCAAGTTTTGCTACTTAACTGAACCATGCCAAAACAAAAAAACAAATAAACAAATAAACCACAAAATTTTACCTCAAAAACCATCAAATCAAGCAATACCCATTTCCATTCAATTCAATCAAAAGACAAACATAGATATGCTATTTACCTCAGGACGAGAGAGAACACGAAGGGTGAGATTCACCATCTGGAGATCTTTAGTACCAGAGACAGAAGAGAAAGTGTGAGGGCGTGTACGGATATCAAAGATAAAGGGCTTTTGAAGCCAAGGGATAAGGAAATGGGTCCCTTCACCAATAGTAGTGTCAATGACTCCACGGAATCTGTCAAAGAGAACAGCGCGTTGGCCTCCATCGACGGTGTAAAGAGAGGAATTGAGAATGGTAGCCGCGGCACCGAGACCGAAAGCCGCTCGAGCGACGTTGTTAAGGAAGGAAACTGCTGCTTGGCTGCTACCCATTGTGAAAGACGGTGGTTGGGAGAGAGGAGAAACGGGTTTTTTTGGGGTTTTGAAAGAGGTGGGTCTTAGGGTTTAAGACAGATGGATCTTTTGACGTGACTTGTAGGAGAGGTCAGAATAAAATGGGCGGGTCGGGTCGGGTTGATTTTCTTTGGGTTACTTCTTGCTTGATAAGTAAAATAGAAATATATGATTTTTATCTTCTTCATTTTTTCTGATTTTATTTATTTTTTTCTTAAATTAGAGATATTCATTTCAAAATTTCAATGTATAAATAAGTATAAAACTAAAAGAGCCTACTCACCGTTAGATTGGATTGTCAATTTAATTGATTGAATCGCGTCAAAGAAAGTTTTCATTCGCTTCTTCCAAATAAAACCGGGCTACATAGCATATCCATAGTAATGATAATTTCGTATTAAAATCTCTATGTTTTTTTCCCTATTTAAGTGTCTGTATCTTTGATTTTTATTTTTATTTTTCTATTAAGTGTTTCGATGGGAATTCGTTAAATTATTAATGACGTGTACAATAAATAAATCCACTATTTGTAAATTGCAAAAAAAGAAATAAATTAAATTAAAAATTAAATGATGAAGATATAAATCATGTTCTAGAAGGAACGTTTCTTGTCCCTTCTTCCGTTTGTGGGTTATTTAGAAACTTTAAAGCACAACTCAAAAACAATAATAAGAATTGGAGAAATTATCCAAAAACACAATGCCACTTTCTTTCTCTTTTTTTATTTTTTAGTTTTTATTTTATTTTCAAATTTTGATTTTGATTTTTTTTTCTTTTTTTAGAATTAAAGGTCCCATAAAAAAGGATAGCACATGTTCGTTTGATGGACATGTTATCAATAATTCAATAAATTTTAAGAAAGATACTTAATTGAAGAAAAAAGAATAAAAGCATAGTCACTCAAATAGAAAAAATTAAAGTAGAGACACTTGATTAGAAATTTTATGTAAATATAGGAACCAAAATTTTCATGAGTAACTTATAAATTAGTCCCTTGTTGGCTAAAAAGAAAAAATTTCCCTCTAATTTCTAAAACTAATTAATTAATTCTTTGACCAATACTAGTCATATTTAATTTAATATTACTTTGATTCAAAAAATATATTTTTTTTTCATCAATTTTTTCATATTATTTAAATCTTTTTTATTTTCTCTATTTCTTAAAAAAAATTGAAAAAGAACATGAAATAGACAAAAAGGATTAGGATATAGATAGGCTTAAAAATATAGAAACTTATTAATTAGTTTTTGTAATTAAAAGACTAATAATGTTTAGCTTGTAACTTGGGCGTCGGCCTTATAGTCATAGACTTGAACAAATTCTTCTATATTATCTCATTACATTATGGATAGCAGTTTTTAAAAAAAAAAAAAAAAACAACTAGAGTCATTTATTGTCGATTGCTTTGGTACTCGTATTTTTCTTAGAGATATCAATCATTTCGGCATGGGCACGTTGGAAAGGGTGAAAAGACTAATTCTTTTGGAATTTTTTCAATCCTACCAGCATTTGTTCGTGTCATTTATTTCCTGGCACATATGTTCTGATCATGACTGGTCTAGTCTATAAATAGCATGAGAGCCCTTCTTTTTCTCATTTTTTTTCCATCTCCACTTTGCCATTTCTCTTCTTTTTATATTTATAACAAAAACAGTTTCTAGCAGATTATGGGAGTATTTTTCAGAGATTCTTATCCACGTACCATTAAATTGGTGGTTTCATGGAAGAGGGTTATTGTTTCTGCAGCATTCCCACTTTCTTGGCAACCGGTGTTGTTTTCTAATAGGTAAAGCTTAACCCTTCTTCTGTTCCTTTTTTGGCAAAAATGGTAGACCTAGAAAGAGTTAGGGGTGAATCGGGAGTTATTTCGAGTAAAGTTTTCTATAACAGATGAGATGAATTCATTTGCAGAAATGGTAGTTTCTCACAAGGTTGAACAGAAGCCTAAATCTGTTCTTTTTTGTTCTGAATGTTAATCTACAGTCAATGCGGATATTAAAAAAAAAATTGGCGTCATATCAATTTTATTTTAGCACTATTGTCATTAGAATTTTGAAAACTATGCATTTTAAATTGATTGATTATCGATTATCAAACTGCAATTATTGTCAAAAAAAAAAAATGGCAATTATTCTTTTGTAAGGTTTCACAAAGATTTGTTTTCTTTACAATAATCATGAAAAATATTTTTTATTTGTGAGGTTGTATGAAAAAAAAAAAAGATTTTTAATTCAAACGAAAAAATTTGATATTGAAAAAATAATAAATAATGAAACATAAAGGAAAAGTAAGAAAAGAAAAACTTAAAAAAAAAAAAAAAAAAAAAAAAACACACTAAGAGAGAAAGTTAGGAGGCCCACAGGCCCAGGCTAGACGCTCATGACCTAGGAGCATAACACGCGGGGGGAGACCAATGAAAGATGATAAATTATTAACTATTAAATATTTGTCATTTAGATCCTATTTTTTTCCTAATGTACAATCGGTGTTAATATTTAAAATAAAAAAATTGGTGCCATATCAATTTTATTTAAGTGTTATTTTCATTTAATTTTTTAAAACTATAATTCTTAAAATCAATTATCAAATCTATATTACTGGAAAAAAAAAGCCGTTAATCATTAATTTTTGGTAAGGTTACATGAAGAATCATTATTATTATTATTTTTTTTTACATTAATGATTAATTTTTATACAATTTTTTTTAAAAAAATTCAAAATCATATAAAATAATCATTATAATTTTGGTTATATGAAAAATAAAAAATCAATAATTTTTAGAGAAAATTGATATTGAGAAAATAAAAAATTATGAAAAATAAAAAAACCAAAAAAAAGAAAGAAAGAAAGATGGGCCACTCCCACACCAGGCCCTGCTGGTACATGGTCCTGCCGCCGACCAAGCTCATGCACCTGTAAAGATGCAGGCAGGCCTGGGAGTTACATGTTAATAATAATAATAAATAAATAAATAAAAATAATAATTTAAGGCGGACGACATATCAAAAAATGTAAGGGCGCTATTTTTAGCTTCCACACCCAGGTTTGATATCATTTTAATATAAAAACTTCCTTAAGAAAAAAAAATCATTTTGAATTTTAAAATGCGTTCTAATCGACCCTAAAAAGTAGAAACAAACAAAAATAAAAATGAAACACTCCCCTCTTTCCAGCTTTCTCTATCCTTTCTATACATTGATGGACTTATTTTTAACAAAAATGAAATTGAAAGACCATTCCCCACAAACAAACCTTTGACATCAAGAACGAAAGAAGAAATAATTTTCAAAAAAATCACTTGAAGATTTTTAGAAAACAAGTTCGCTTCTTACTTTAAAAAAAATAAATAATAATAATAATAATAATAATCTAAAATATCGTTGTTTTAGGCATTTTAACTCCAAACTTAGCTGATTGAAACACCTTTTAGCTTTAGTTCTTACTAGTGTTGTCGTGGGATCCAGTTTATAATCATATATATTTGTTTAGATTTTGTGTTGTTTTTGTTGTAAATGTTAACATATTGTTTTATCATATAGTTTAGTTTAATTTAATTTATGTTTTACATGGACGGACAAATAATTTAGTACAAATCTCTCGTTTCAAGTTTAAAATCATTTTTATAACTAATCTACTAAAATTATCATTTATTGATGTTGCAAATAAATATTTTTCTTGATATTTATTTAATATAAGTGTTATTTTCTTTAACCAATCTACTAAAATTATCATTTATTGATGTCGCAAACAAGTATTTTCTTGATATTTATTTAATATAAGTGTTATTTTCTTTGTTATATATGTGTGTGTGTGTGCATGTGCATGTGCATGCACGCGTGCGCACATGTGTGTGTGTGGACTCGATTTGTTTGATTGATATTTAGTAATATAGTTTCAGCTTTTAGAGCGAGTTATTCAATTTGCTTGAATTTTTATTATTGCTAATTTATTTTTAATTATCATTTTTAATAGAAGAGAAATCTTAAGGAGTAGAAAACTATATGTCATTTATCCAAAATTTATCTTTTCATTATTATATAGTATACATAAAACATGTGAATTTTATATTTTTTTAAAAAAAAAAACCCTTTTTTTTTTATTCCTTAGCTATACATGGCTACTCCTTGTGTACATATGTAATACTCGAGACTTCGAACATTTTTATGCATTTGTGTGTTTATTTGTTAAGCATGTACTTGCTATACTTTGTGTTTACATTGATGAATGTTTGGTTTTACAAATCCATATTGCTAAGCGTAGAGGATGTTGCCGTAAGCGAGCCAAGTTTGCTAAAGTGTACTATATGTATAGGGTTAAAGTTTAAAGACTAAACAATACCTATGTTTCTTATATTTGGTCACCTATGTGTTTCCTAAGCTCAATCACTTTGGTTTGTAAACTTATGTTACATTTGGCTAGTTTTGATATGTTTATGTATATACATGTTGCAAGGTAGTAAAATAGTTTTATGTTTGTGAAACTTGTATTGTTTTAAATATGTTAAACCAAGGCAGTCTTGAACTTTAAACCAAAATACTTTCGTTGTACATTGTTTGTTATACACAAGGTAGAGGATATAGGGCTTTGCCTCGTATTCTATGAGTGTGTGGTATAAATGTAACACTCTTGCCTTCTTTAGGCCGATAGTGTTACAAACTTGGTATCAAAGCAATACAATTCTATATGCCTAAACAATGCACACAAATTCAAACTCCAATAGCATCGTCAACATGTAAGTGTTTCATATTGCATATTATGTTTACTTGAAGAATTAAATGAATTTGCCTTATAATTTTTGAATTATGTGGATATGTTTGAGTAAGTTAAATTTCGAGGACAAAATTTTTACGAGGAGGGGGAATGTAATACCCGTAAATTCAAACATTTCTATGCATTTGTGTGGTTATTTGTTAAGTATCCGCACGTTATACTTTTTGTTCATATTGATGAATGTTTCATTTTGCAAATCCATGTTACT